TTTATCTGCCAACCGTTTCAAACCTGCAGATCTTTTCAGTGTCATTGTCTCTGCTTTTTATGATGCTTTTTATCTTTCTGTGTATTATTTTTTCTTCCTGTCATTTCCCATGCTCGTAAAACCTCCTGACCCCTTTATTGTCAGAGTACACAAATACACGAGGATGAAGGTTTTTCATAATTTTGGAGCATGTACTATGAGAATGTGTACATAGCAATGGCACCGTCATTGTCAGGGGGTCACTGTGTTAGGATGGGGGGTGTGCAGCCCTTTGTTCCAGTCTCCAAATGGTCATATGTTGACAATCCTGCGATCCTTTCAATAGTTAGAAGCATTACTCACAGTAACATTAGTTAGCCATAGTCAGAACATATTTTTATGGATTTGGGTGTAAAAGATGCTTGTAAATCATTTTTACAACAGATGGGAATATCATTACCTATATTTCAGAGCTTTAATAGAAGTACTTTTGTTTAAAGGCCAAGGCTCAAACATTTTTAAGTATCTCAGCCTAGACTTCTAGGGGAACCATGAAGGTCTGGGACTAGACCAGCAAGGCTGATAAAGGGCTGTTTCTGCAAGATGCAAACATTTCTAAGTATCCCAATCTAGATTTCTAGGGGAGCCATGGGGGTCTTGGACTAGACCAACAAGGCTGATAAGGACTGATTTGTTCAGTGCGCAAGCATTTTTAAGTATCCCAGCCTAGACTTCTATGGGAACCATGGAGGTCTAGGTCTAAGACTAGACCAGCAAGGCTGATAGAGAGTTATTGATCAAGGTGCAAAGATTTCCAAGTATCTCAGCTTAGATTTCTAGGGGAGCCATGGGGGTCTGGGACTAGGCCAGCAGGGCTGATAGTCTCTGATTGTTCAACTCGCAAACATTTCCAAGTATATCAGTTTAGATTTCTAGGGGAACCATAAGGGGTCTGGAACTAGGCCATCAAGCTGATAGAGGCTGATTGTTCTAATAATAAAGCAGATGTTACTCTCACCCTTACAAAAACACCAGCTAGCTGCTATCATTGCACACCAAGGGGGCATACTGTATGTTTGAACCTGCCACTAAGAAACTGCTGGCAGGTCACAGCATGATTATTATAAACATATGTAAAGTACTGTTACTATAAATGTAATATCCTTTCTTAATAGTGCAAATAATAAAAAAAAATCTCTAAACTTGTACATATAACACTAATACTTAAGCCATGGAATGAATAAAAACTCAGTGCTAATCCAAATAGAAAATAAATTAAATGAAAATAAAAATCCCAAAGTGTAGCAATTAAAAAAAAAAAAAAAAGTATTACTAAGTGAATTATCTGTGTTTCATCAATATTTCCACCACCACATACATTGCAGCATAGGGGTAAACCTTCACACCACCCAAACATGTGCTTCTTACCAGATAGCCAGACCTATTTACAGTATTTGGAGGTCTATCGTGCTGGTCCCACAACTTTGGGTATACAGGTAGCCAGCAACTAGATTATTCAACAGCCAAATCCTCTCTTCTGACATTTCAGGGTATTCAGTGTGTCACCAACAAATGAGAAGCTCTTCAAGTGGTTTGCCGATTCCCCTTTACACTAGATTAGGAGGTGCGTTGGATCTGATTGTCAGCGTCCTCCTCCTCTTCAGGCCTAAATTCACAGCTAAACGCAGCATGTATCAATAGCCCTACATTAAAAATCATAACATTTTGGTGTTTTAGCCTTAAGAGCTGCTGTCATCTAGTATTTCTCCTTTGCCTGTTCTTCGGCCAGTGCATGAAATGACATAATAGATGGATCTGATGGCAGAAAGAGGGGGGGGGGGATTGGGTTGGACAATGTAGTGGTTTAGTCGCAGATGAAACAAATAATCTGTCCACAGATCTGCCCAGTAGACAAAACTCCATTGCATACCAGTATAGAGGTGACCTACATCCTCATTTTCATTTTCCCTGCAAACGGCCCCATTTATAGACAGACCCTTATAAAATGTCACAAGAGGCAATACTGGTATTCCAAATTCTGGTGTTTGTGGCATTTTTAAACTTCAAACAACAAAGTATGACAATGTTATTACTAGTTGTTGGCAGGGATGACAGTTTATACATTGACCCCAATATCATTGTAGCTGCAGCCTCTGTATGATTCTATATGGATGGAAGTTTTTGGTGAGAGCTAGAGTACTGCTTCAAGACTATGTACTCTCCCAGCTTGATTACAGCATTGACATAAATGTCTAGAATAGAATAAGTACATACTTCACAGAAATATTGCAGAATATGACCTTTTTAACCATTTATTGAACAACCAACATAGATCTATGCTCTAATTGAAATGCATTCCCACACTTTTGGCTATTTGTAATCATATAAAGTGCACATGAAGACATCCACAATTGTTTGTGTTTACCCTCCTTATGCATATGTACTCCTATAAGGGTATGTACATTCATATGTTAGGGTTGTCACCTTTTCTTCAAGCCAAACCCTAACACTTTAGAGGCACACTGCAGTTTTTTTGTTTTTTTTTTATGTGTCTGTAGTTGTGTACAGGCAACCTATGTTACACAATGGGAATGCAGCAACTGTATGAACACAGCCGCAGATCCTAATTTAACAGTCATGAGGTTGCATGCGTAGGTCCCCAAACACAGGCAGTACACATTCGGGGCCACTCATCCACACCTGTCAAATTAGGACACAAGGCTGTGTTCCTGTGTTCATGCAGCTGCTGTGTCCCCTAGAGTAGCAGGTGTCTCCAACCGCACAAAATGCTCATTTATACTGTATGGGCCAGAGAACTGGTGTGAATGAGCCCTTCATTTTTTTTATTATCTTTTTTTTTTTATTATTATTTTTACTTTTTTTTTTTTATATTTGTTGGAATTTCTTTTACATTTTTTTCACAATATTTTTTTTTTTTTGGGGGGGGGGGGCTTTGGTGAGATATCAGGGGTGCAAATAGACCCCTGAATTCTCACTTCTGAAACAGAGAAAAGGACTGAGGAAACACATTCCGCAGTTCCTTTCTGCAGCCTCAGCTACACAAAATGAGCAGGCAGGGCTCTGCACAGTCTACCTGTTCATAAACTCAAGCACAGCACACATAGTTTACTATGCTGCAGTTATGGATAAACACAGTGAGTGATTGGTACCCTTCACTAAGTGTGTTCATTCAGAAAAGGAAGGGGTCAGTAATGACACTTTTACTAGCCCCTTCCTCCTCTATCCATCCTGAAAGGACCCCCCCCCCCCCCGCAGCACCTGGTGGGAGAGTAGAGAAGGGAAGCCGGCAGTACTGCGAAGGGGGGAGGGGTCATACAGGGGGCCCGGGCAGCAAGGGAAAGAAGATGGAGAACAATGGTCAGTGCCGAGGGGGCGGCATTTATAGGACCCACTCACCTTTATGGCTGTCTGTGCAGCAGCTGAAAGCAGCGAGCGGGAGAATAGGAGAAGCTGGCTTTCAGCTGTTGCAGGTTGAACCATACAGGGGATTAAATTCTATGATTGCCCTTTGTGACCACTGAAGCTCTGCCAGTGCACATGGAGTGATCGGAGTGTTCCCAGGCACACCCCATGCGCACACCTATGCTTGTCCTGATTTCAGGCAGTCTTAAACCTGTACACATAATTCAAAACCTGGACCAGTTGCCACCGGGAAAGCTGGCAACCTTCATAATAGCAATAACCGCTAATAGTAACTTAACCACCTTCCGCCTGCCCTATAGTACAAGGACGGGCGCAAGGTGGTTCTCTCATTCTGATAGGACGTCATATGACGTCCTACCATTCTCACTGCGCATGCGCGGCTCAGGACACAGCGGATCACGGAAAGAGCCAAAGATGTCAGCTCGGTCATGTGATCAGCTGTGTCCAATCACAGCTGATCACATGTAAACACGGAAATGCCGGTTATCGGCATTTCTCTCCTCTCGAGCTGTCATGCTGACAGCTCGAGAGGAGAGGAGAGCTGGTAATCGGCTTTCCGCGGAGGGGACATGTACACTGATCATCAGGGCACTGATGATCAGTGTGCCCTGATGATCAGTGTGGCCCCAGAAGTGCCACCTGTCAGTGCTCATCAGTGCCAGTGCCCATCAGTGCCACGTGCCAGTGCCCATCAGTGCTACATCAATGGCACATATCAGTGCATACCAGTGCACATCAATGCCACATATCAGTGCCCATCTGAGCTGCCTTTCAATGTCACCCATCAGTGCCAGTCAGTGCCACCTATCAATGCCAATCAGTGCCGCCTATCAGTGCCAGTCAGTGCCGCCTATCAGTGCCAGTCAGTGCCACCTATCAGGGCCAGTCAGTGCCGCCTAACAGTGCCAGTCAGTGCCGCCTATCAGTGCCATGTATCAGTGTCATGTATCAGTGCTGCCTTTCAGTGCCCATCAGTGATGCCTATCAATGCCCATCAGTGCAACCTACCAGTGCCTCCTCATCAGTGCCACCTATCAGTGTCCATCAGTGCAGCCTATCAGTGCCCATCACTGCAGCCTCATTAGTGCACATCAGTGAAGGAGAAAAATCACTTATTTACAAAATTGTATAACAAAAACTAAGAAAAAATGTTTTTTTTTTTTCAGAATTTTCAGTGGTTTTTGGTTTGTTTAAGAAAAAATAAAAATCCCAGAGGTGATTAATACCACCAAAATAAAGCTCTATCTGTCTCAAAAAAATGATAAAAATTTCATATGGGTACAATGTTGCATGACCACGCAATTGTCATTCAAAGTGTGACAGCGCTGAAAGCTGGAAATTGGCCTGGGCAGGAAGGGGGTATAAGTGCCCTGTAGGCTAGTGGTTAAAGGTCAAGGGAAGTAGACACAATTACTCCGTTAATTATTTAAATGTAAGCTTTCTGACTAGAATCTGTTTGGTCATTAAGGTACAAAGTGAGCCTGCTCAGAAAAAGGTTGAGGGACATGAGGTAATAACCTGTACTAGTAATAAAAACAACAGTATGAATACTTCTAAATGTCCTTCTTTTCTTGCAGGATGTCCGACCTCAACGTGCCATACCTCTGCCAGGCTACGACGTCAGTTTACCAAGTGCCAGCGATAAGGTGGACTTAAAGCATGTATTTAAATTAAGCCAGTCCCAGCAAACTTTGTTTTTTAGTGTTGAAGATGAGGAACTACTGATGAAATGGTTAGAGCTTCTGGGTCGAGCATCGAGAGGAGAAACAGAGGGGGTGGAATGTCCTGAGAACGCCTAAATTTCAACATTCCGAAACTTGTAATAGACGTTTCTTTAAGTAAAAATAAAAGCTTATCTGAAGTTTGACAACCAAGTAACTTTCCTGACATGCTCATGTCTACATATTAACATCTGTGGTGTTCCCCATTTTCTGTAAATTTTCATATTTGTACTTGTGTACAATGCGTAACCTGTGTCCTGTGCCTCCAAATAGGCAGATCTTTTGACTGGCGTCTCGAGACTGCAGTTATAGCACAAAATTTCTTCAGCCTACTGTTTTGTATATGTGTATTTAAGAAAACGAATTCTAAATCCTGTTTGGTGCAGATTGTATCTGTGAAAAGTTTAATGACTATCACCTATTACTTGCCCAGAGTGGAAAGATCACATGACTGCATACATGTATGCATACATACATGCATACAGTACCGTGGATCTCACCAGAGCAAAAATGGAGCCGGACTTGTGCAGCTATTGATCATTCCTACACTTCTAACCTCTTGGATGCCTGAAAGTAACAGCCATTTTGTCGTAACTGTCAAATATTGAATATTGCAATCAGGAGTGTGTCTACCCATTTGGCATGTTGTTTACCGATAGTGATGGGGGAAAAAAAAAAAAGTTAATCAAGTGTTGTATTTATGTGAAGTATTAAGCAATTTGTACCAGAACAATCCATATACTCCATATGTGAAGAGACCCCAGATGAAGCACCTTCTGCATGTTTAAATGGCCGTAGACTCATTTTTTAAAAGTCTATGAAACAACTTTTTAGCACTGCTGGGAACATACGTTTTTTTAATTATTTCTTGTTAACCCTGTGTTTTTATTTATGATTTGTAAATAATGTTACATACATATTTTCAGACAATTTAAAAAGAAAAATAAGCTAATAAAAAAGTTTAGCACACAGTGATTTTGTGATCATTTATATGACTTGAACATTTATATGACATAAGCTGTATTTGCAACTCAGGGGTAGCGGTTGCGGGGTGGTTTAAACGCAACTCAACCAGAGGTTTTTACTGCCCTCCAACCGCAAATGTAAACTAAAATGAAAGCTTAATGCCACTCAGAAGTGATCTTTTGCATGAGTGCCTACGAATAGTGTCACAAACAGACTGTCTTTCAGAAATTCCAGTGATTTGATAATGTGTCGTGTGGCAAAATGTTTTTGATAATTTGGTAGTGCTCCACTGATGGATTCTTCATAATGCAGAATCATGGGCAGCTTTCCAAATACGCTTTTATAACCCAACTTCACAAACAGATTGGGTGAAGTTTTCAAAGCACCGCTGCACAGCCACCCTGTCTTAGTTCTATACGTCTCTGCATGTAAGGCTTCCTGTAGGATGTAGCGGAGGTACAGCACGGGGACAAATTATTTATTCGTTATTGGGCACACTTCACTAACGCTTATCGCATGAGTTAAGTCAGTCACATGACCACATATCGCATGTGATACTGACAATGTCAAATCACTAGTGATAGTATGCGATATTTACCGAAAATAGCAAAAACACTCGGTAAATACCACATAAAAAGAACTTAACGGCAATTCACAAAAGGAAGTAAATAATTAAATGCATGCGGTAATTAAGTAGTGCTCCAGGCATGCGGTATGTACTGGCATCTGTCAGTACTGTCATGGGTTGTTAAGGAATTGGTGGCCGCTGAGTCCCTAACAACCTATGAGTCATCAGCTGTGAGCGGGGGGTTCTTCACTGACAGCTGAAAGTAAAAAGAAAAAATTGCCGGCAATTAAAAAATGATGTGGGGTCCCCCTCCATCCATACCAAGCCCTTCGGGTCTGCTTTGGATTTTGAGGTTAACCCCCACGAAAAATTTTTTAAAAAAAATGGCGTGGGGTCCCCCCCAAAATCCATACCAGACACTTATCCGAGCATGCAGCCCAGCAGGTTAGGAAGGGGGGGGGGGAGAGCACCCCCTCCTGCACCATACCAGGCCACAAGCCTTCAACATGGTGGGGTGCTTTGGGGCAGCGGGGCTCCCTCCCCCCAAAGCACCATGTCCCTATGTTGAAGGGGACAAGGGCCTCTTCCCCACAACCCTGACCGGTGGTTGTGGGGGTCTGCGGGCGGAGGGCTTATTGGAATCTGGAAGCCCCTTTTAGCAAGGGAGCCCCCAGATCCCAGCCCCCCTAATGTAAATTAGTATGGGGTACATGGTACCGCTACCCATCACCCCCAAAAAAACTGTATTGTGAAAAGACAGGAGACAGTCTTTGACAAGTCCTTGGCTTGACAGTTCCTAAATATGTAAGGGGTGGGGCCACCCGGTGACATCACCTATGTGACCCCACCACCGTGTGACATCATTGACCCAGGTCGATGATGTCACATGGGGGTGGGGTCACATGGGTGATGTCAAGTCAGCGGAGCAGTCAGACGGCCGGGAGCCAGCGTCAGGGAGCAGGGCCTTTTTTTGGGGGGGGGGGGGCGGCGAGCATCGTGATTGACGTTGGATCTACTTCAGGGGACTTTTTGTATTTTCCTTCTTTCAATAAAGGACTTGTTAAAATCTATCTCCTGTCTTTTTTTCCACAATACAGGTTTTTTTTTTTTTGGGAATGGGTAGCGGTATTATGTACCCCATACTCATTCACATGGGGGGGCGGGATCTGGGGGCTCCCTTGTGGGGAAGAGGCCCTTGTCCCCATCAACATGAGGGTAAGGTGCTTTTGGGGGGGGGGTGCTCACTCATCCTCCCCTTTCCTGACCTGCCAGGCTGCATGCTCAGATAAGGGTCTGGTATGGATTTTAAGAGGGACCCTCATACCGTTTTTTTTTTTTTTTACATTTTGGCGTGGGGGTTCCCCTCAAAATCCATACCAGTCCCGAAGGACTTGGTATGGATGGAGGTTTGGGACTCCATGTAATTTTTTGAATTATTTTTTGATTGCCGGCAATTTTCTCCTTTTACATTCAGCTGTCAATGTGGAACCCCGCTGACAGCTGAAACATTAACGCATAGTTTCCATTACTAAAATACCGCATAACTTGATAAGATAACTCATGCGGTATTTTAGTAATGTTTTTTTTTTAGTGAATTCAAAGGTTTTTTTTTTTTTTTTTTTTTAATGCTGTGCGGTATGCCCACCAATCAACAGCCATCTAGCCCGTACTATCTTCCCTGCACTAAGAGGAGAGGAAGCTGCTGGGATTTCAAATCCCCAGCTTTTCGTTTTGTGACAGTATGGGATTGGTGCAGGGAGGTTTCCTCCTGTGTGAACTCAGACTATGACTATGAAAAGCAGGAATCACATTCCTGTTCAAATCGCATGCTTTTCTTTGCGGTGCAATTTGCCTAAATACATTCAGGTATCAGGAGCATTTTCACAAATACTCAGTATTAGTGCATCCCTACTCTGTATATATGGTACGTATATACATGCATCTTGTGCGTTTCCCGTACCGCATTGAAATGGCACAGCCTTCATGCAATCTGCTGCGGGTGTCAATTTAAAATTATCAACACCCCAAATAGTGCTGAAAAAAAAAAAAAAAAAAGATGTTTGCACCTTTTCCGTGCGGAGCGGTGTGATTTGAGACCATACAAACTGAAAAATTTCACTGCAAAGAATCACATGTAGTTTGAACAGGTATGCGGTGCGATTCCTGTCTCAATCACATGCGGTTTCCCACACTGCCCCTGTGTGAATCCAGGCTGAAATGATGAAATGAGCGGTCTGCATGTGTGAAAGGGGCCTACATGGGACAGAAAAATAATTGTTTTCACTCTTCTAGGATGGCTTTTCACAAAGGTTTGGAGTGTGTTTGTGCCAATGCAGCCAAAAGAGTATTTGTGAGGTCAGGTACTGGTTTTGGGTGTAGAGATGTGACTCGCAATATGTGCTTCAATCCATCTCAAAACTGATCAGTAGGGTTGAGGTCCAAGCTCTGTGCAGGCCACCCAACTTTTTCCACACCAGACTTATCAGACCATGTCTTCATGGACCTGGCTTTGTTCCAACACCACAGTGCCCCTGTGCACAGAGAAGGGACTTTACAATCTGTTGCTGTGAAGTTGGAAACTTATTTAAAATGTCTTTATATGCTGTAGCAATACTAGCAGCCTTCACTGAACCCAACAGAGTGGCAGTTCTTTTATCCATATAGTAGTTGCAGAGATGTTCGATTCCTATCGCCCGATGCCCGGGACATGTTGTTCCGGGGTGCTGGGCAGGTAGTTTTTTTCTTCCTTTAGCCCTGCTGCGGACAAGCAGCGGGCTCACCTATCAGGTGGAAGCCTCCCCCCTGTGACGTCTCCCAGGCTCTGCTTGCCCATTTGTGGGCCTGGGACCAGCTCACCGCCGTTGGCTAGAAGGGAGGAAATAGAGTGGACAAGTCCGATCCCCTTCCCTTCTTGCCCTGACCCGGCAGTGACGTTATGATGTCACTTCCGGGTCCCCGTTGAGAGATTTCCGGCCATGGAAGCCGGGAACGAATGTAATGCGGTGCGATGTGGACTGCACTACATTAAAGGGAGCACAGGGGAGACATGCAAGGTCTTTTAGACCCTCGATGCCTCAATAAAGAGAACCTGTCACTAAAAAAATCATCACGTAGGGGACTTTGGCCCTTTTGTGATGAAAAAAAAAGTAAAAAAAAAACAAAAAAGTTTTCTTTTATTGTAAAAAATGAGTTACACCCAAGCACATACCATCCCCCCAAAAAATGTTAGGCCCCCACCCCCACATATACGAACGTACAAACATAATAAAGCACAAGTTTGGTCGCCTACGCATGAAAACGTTGATTGCGATATACATGTCACATATCCCCGTGCACACCAGAATGAGAGCAATAATTCTAGCATGAGACCTCCTCCATAACGCTAAAATGATCACCTATAAGGGGCATTAAAAGTGTTGCCTATAGAAAATATGGGTTACTGAAGTGCGTCGCCATTTCACGAGCGCACACAAATTTAAGGTTTGACAAGTTGGATATCTGTTTAAGCGGTGCAACCTCATCTTTTATATTTAAAAAAAAAAGG